TGTTTGGCGGGCCAGGGCTGAATTTGAACCCACTACCTTGGGTGTACATGGCTGGCGCCTTAGCCACTTGAGCCACAGGCACTGAGCCAACCAACACAACTTTTAATGGCATTTGACAACAGCAGAATATATATTCTTTTAAAATCCACACACAATATTCTGGCCCACATTCTGGGCAATGAAAAGAATTCAAGTCACACAAAGTATGTTCTCTAGCCATAGTAGAATTCAACTAGAAATCAATAACAGATACCTGGAAATTCTTCTGAACATCTGGAAACGTTATAATAATGTACTTTTTTTTTTTTTGAGAGAGGGTCTCATTCAGTTGCCCTGGGTAGAGTGCCTGCCATAGTAGCTCACTGCAACTTCAAACTCTTGGGCTGAAGTGATCCTCTTGCCTCAGCCTCCAGAATAGCTGGACAAGGGTGCCTGCCACAAAGCCCAGCTGGTTTTCCCAATTTTTAGTAGAGATGGAGTCTTGCTCTTGCTCAGACTGGTCTCCAACTTCTGAGCTCAAACAATCCACCTGCCTTGGCCTCCAAGAGTGCTAGGATTACAGGCGTGAGTAATCAACCACACCCGGCCTAATAACAGACTTCTAAATAATCCACCGGACAAAGAAGAAATCAAAAGAGAAATTAGAACATAGACTGAATTAAATAAAAATGAAAATACAGCATGTCAAAATTTTTGAGATATTGCTGAGCAGTAGTCAGGAGTAAATCTATTGCACTCAACGCCTATATTAGAAAAGAAAGAAGAGGGCAGAGCCTGTGGCTCAAGCGGCTAAGGCACCAACCACATACACACCAGAGCTGGCAGGTTCGATCCAGCCTGGGCCTGCCAAACAACAATGACAGCTACAACCAAAAAATAGCCAGGCATTGAAGCGGGCACCTGTAGTCCCAGCTACTTAGGAGGTGGAGGCAGGAGAATTGCTTGAGTACAGGAGTTGGAGGTTGTTGTGAGCTGTGATGCCATAGCACTCAACCCAGGGCAACAGCTTGAGGCTCTGTCTCAAAAAAAAAAAAAAAAAGAAAGAAAGAAAGAAAAGAAAA